CCGTGCAAAATGAAGACGTATTGAAACCCCAGGGAACGCGAGTTCCTTATTTGCTGTTCTACAGGAAAAGCGATATGACCCTATCTAAATAAGGTTGCTACTTTTACGTAGAGTTCAGCGTCTGGAATCTTACGGGATTTCTCTCTTTAGTTTTTATTGAATTTGATATTTTTTTTAGTTTCAATGAATTATTTTATTCTTTCATTAGTGATAGGTATTGTTCAATTTTTAATGTTATATGTATTTCATTTATAAATATATGATTACCTCAAGTTAGTAAATAGATTTTTTACCAATTTGCTTTACAATTTTATTGCAATGTTTTAAATTTCTTGTAGATGTCTTGATAAAGGGAATAAACATTCTCGAAAGCTCGACCAATTAACAAAGAATGTTCTGTAAACAACAGCCCAGTAATTTTGACTGCATCCCCAACAATATTCCGAAGCAACCCTTTGGTTGCTACCTCTACAGCGAGTAAGTGCCAAGCACTCACTCGCTAGAGCTGGAGCACTGGCCCAAGCATGGACCAGTGAAATAATTCATATGTACACATGTGATACACATGTGATATGTGCACATACATTGTCAAATATATAGATACGAACGTTTACATACTGCGCAAATACTTTTTCAAAACAGATGCGAATACTTGCGGCTGGCGTCAATGTTTTGGTTGGTTTTCGGGTTTCGCCGTGTTTTGCCGGGTTTTGCCGTTTCAGTTGAAACGTCAAGAAGAGTACTTCGACTACGCCACTGAAGATGACTGGCGCAGTTGTAGTTGAAAGTTTTGGAGATTATAACCTAAGACCACAGCAACACCTGAAAACCAACCGAAACAAGTAGGGTGCTAATGCCGACTGAACGCCTCCCCCCACCCCTTTTAACCTTGAGACGTCACACGACCTTGAATGACGTCACCTAACCTTGAACGTCGTACACGTAGTATGAGCTTGAATGCGGTGTTTGACCTTGAGTGTGGGGTTTGACCTTGACGTTCGATGGTTCCACTTATGTTTCGTTTGCGTTTACGCAGCTATTTTCATCAAGTACTTTCTTGGTTTTTCTCATTTTGTTTTCAATCGACGACCGCCTTCCCGTACTCACGATGCCCAATAGGCTGAAACAACTGTCTACCGGTGGCTCTTGAATTGAAATCGATATGGGAATTATCAGAATGGTACTTTATTCATTTATCTTTTGATTTTCATGGAATTATTTTCCAGCAGCTTGACTGCATTAACCTTTCTTGATAATATATAACATATACAAATATATACCTCGAAGTTCTCTGTTAAATTGTAAGTAACCAGCTGAAAATGCACCAACACTCTCTCCTGCAACAGTAATTCTCTTGGAGTCTCCACCAAACAAGTGAATATTGCGATGAACCCATTTAAATGCCAGAATCGTATCTTTTAGTCCCAAGTTTGCAGGAATAACTCCATCGGCCGTTGTAAGAAACCCTGAAAATTGTAATTGAGGGAGCGGCATATTGACACAATACTGGAATATGTTGTAATCTGGTTTACATTTTACTATCCCAGAAAAACATATTGAGATGCATAATTATTGTTCTCAAAAAGTAAGCAGCAGTACTGTTCTGTCGTTGTTCTATCTTCAGTTTTCGTTTATTCTGGTTGAAATAATTTAGTTCTGAATATTGAACACAATAAAATCTGAATATATTGAAAAAAGTCTCTCAGTTGCAGATTCTTTGAATATTTATGGGTTATCTATCTTTCAATCCGTAATGATACAGATATTCGGAACATATTTATGTTTCTTTTTTGTTTTTATCGACTTCTTTCCAGTTTTTCCGCCTTCCACAATCTGAACAATTTGAAAATTGAAATTTTTAATATTATACATATGTAGAAATTGCAAACTTCTCAGTTTACATTGTGGAAGGTGAAAAAAAGGTCTATGAAAACTCTATTTTTCCCTCAGTTTTATCCAATATTCTTGTAAGTCTTTCAATGCTGAGAAAATATTTTCAATGATATTGGAATGAAGTTATAAACTGAGGTACAGTCATAATTGTCAACCAGACCTCCAAACCGTGAAGTCAATAACTATCATTCCAATAAGTTCCATTTCAACGAAATTCTTCCTTAAGAAAAGGGAAGAAAGAGATATACAACAATAATTCCAACTCTTCAAAATAATCCATTGATAAAATAACTAGAGATTTACCACGTGGATTCACTTTTCGTCCGTTTTTGTTCTTATTCTGCATGAAATAGCTCTTGAATGTAAGTAATGATATTCTGTAAAGAAGTATTTATTCAAAATATGAAAACTCAATGAACAACGTAGAAATGAAGAGGTAAGATATTTGGAAATCTATTCTGATACGCAGCTCACCATCAAAGTTTACATAAAGCATACGGTGAATGTAACATATCATGCATACGGTTTAAAATTAAGAAAGATTGACTATTGTGACTATATTCAATATGGCTACGAAGTATCATTTAACCTTTTGTGTAATATAGATTTTTATGAACTTTTATTGCAGGATCGTATAGAGTATACAGGGTGTAACTAAATAAGTGTAAAACATGTGAAATAGGTGATTCGTCATCGAAAAAAAGATGGGATCTTTCATATAAGGAAACTTCATTGGAGCATCCCTTGTTAAAATACAGCCCCTTAAAGGGGGTACATGAAATTTGTATAACAATTTTTTTCACAAGCACTGAAAAAGTTACAATATTGAAATTAACCTGAGGTTTTGTACTATCAAAAAGACACTTAGCCAGTAATTTATTTGGTTTACCCCATGGTTGTAAGGGGTGGAAAACGCAACCCCTAAAATGTATTTCCAATGTAACTTTTTGTCTTATCATTTGTTTACCATTTTCGATAGCCTGTTTTATTCTAAACAAAAAATGTCACTTGGGTTTTTTGCCCAAAATAAGCCAGTTCGCAGCAAAAAATTCATTTTACGAACAACTACAGAGATACATCGCCATAAATGCGAACTGGATTTATTGTTATTCTGTAGTTAGTACCTACATTAAACGATTAAAAGGTAATAAACAAAACTAATTCAGTAATAACAAAACACACAACATGTAGAAATTATAGTAAATGTTCAATATGTCTACCTACAGACATTACGCATGCGTGTAGACGGTGGCGCATTGAGTCACGTATTCGCTCAAATATTCCTGGAGTCTCTCTGATTACCCTGCACGCAACGATGATGCGGTTTCTTAAGTCCTCTACATCGCGAACAGGAGTACGATGAACCAAATGCTGTAAATGGCCCCAATTAGAGAAATCGAGAGGATTGAGATCCGGGGAACGAGCGGGCCAGTTCTGTGGTCCTCCACGACCTATCCACTGATTTGCATGTGTTTCAGTTGAATGCTGACGTGCTACTTGACTAAAATGGGCGAGAGCCCCATCATGCATGAAAAACATATCCCTTCTGACGCCCAAAGGAACTTCCTCCAGCAGTACTGGATGCACTTCTCTTAAAAATTGAACGTATGCCTCACCATTTAATCGAGGAGGTAGAAAATGAGGCCCAATTAAATCATCCCCATAACTCCGATCCACACGTTAAGAGAAAACTGTTCTTGATGATTAGTTTCGACAATAGCGTGAGCATTTTCATCAGCCCATATGTAGTAATTATGAAAATTAATAATCTTGTCCCGAGAAAAACTACATTCGTCTGTGAATTCTATCGTCTTCAGAAAGTGACAATTTCTTCTAATCATTTCCAGCATCCAATTACAAAATTCAAGACGGTTCGGAAAGTCTCGCGGTAACAGTGCCTGAACTCGTTGCAGACGGTAAGGGTATAAAAGTTGTTCCTTTAAAATTCGAAATATCGTCATATGATCAACATTTAGCTGGAAAGCAATCTTTCTAGTACTGGTAGTAGGTTTTTCTTCAATCAAATTAAGTACTGCTTCCTAAAGCTGTGGTGTTCGTACTTCTCGATGGTGACCACAATCCTGCGTTCTTTTGTCGAATGAACCATATTCTCGTAATCGTTGATGAAGTCGAGCAAATATTCTATGCTGCCGTTGAGGATACATTTCAGCATATTTTCTAGAAGCTGCTAACCCATTCCCCTGCGACAGACCGTAAACGTAATGCATATCAGCGATTTCCCCATTTGTGTATGCCATTTTAATAACAAGTGAATTATTGAAGTAACAAATTGAGAACAGAACAACAACACACAATTAGTATTAATTCAATTTCGAAAATTCACAAACTGACAGCGTCATACCAATTTAATTGTCACTATCTACTAGATAGATTAGTTTCGTATTTTCGCATTTATGACGTAGTTGTTCGTAAAATAAGTTTTAGCTGCGAACAGGTTTTTAGGTAATTCCAGAGATTAGCGCGTTCAAATGAATAAACATCAGAAAAAACTCTTCAGCTTCAATTTATGTATTACTATAGATAATGAATTGAAAAACATATTTCTGACTGTGAAAGGCAAATTTTCAGAAGGAATCTAACTTAGTATACACAGTAAAATATATGACGAATTCAAAAAACTTTACTGTGAGATTTTCACTAAACGATTTCACAAATTCCAATTTCATCATATATAAAATACATGAATTGTGATAGGACAGATTGTTCTGCTTTTAGATGCTAGAATGAATCAACACAAATATAATTTTTGGGATTTTTGAAAATAAGGTAGGAAGACCTTGTCCAAACATCATTTTGATCAAGGTCATAACTTTAATTTTGATAATGGTCAATTATTAAATTCCTCATCAAAATATCAAATACATCAATGACTTGAAATTCTTCAGAAATGTTATGTAGAAAAAAATGTGGCATTTTGATTATGACCTTTTGTGAGGTGTGCGTATATAGAGAAGTAAAAGATAGAATTATAGGTATACCGGGTGATTATCTACGGTGGCTCACCCCTATAACTGTTTTGTTATTGGAGATAGAAAAACGAAATTTCAGGGTGTGTATTATAGTTCCATTTACATTTTTTGACATATTTACTTGCTTTGCCTTACTTCCGGTTTGACCTGAAATGAGTTTTGAATGGGACATCCTATATATTGTTACTTATTTCGATCGTGAATGACATTCTAAATCAAAAAATACTTCATTTGTTAATATTTGACAAATGATATCATTATTTATTCCAATTTTTAATTTTTGATCTAGAATGCCATGGATCGTGTAAATCGCTTCATTCTTGATTAAGTAACATAGGAAAACTACGACTTTGAGGCTTATGACTTCACAGTCGTTTTAAGAATTATTTCACAGTTGCAAATATGGATTTCTACAGTTAACTTGATTTTTTTATTCGGAAAAAGGGTGGCTCGTCGGCTTTTTTGAAAGATCATGTTCTTACGAATAATTTGATGCCACACACTCTCACTTTATTTTCTCTATTTTTCTGAATAATTGCAAGAACTTCGCAAATTTGTCCATTAAGGTTATACATTTTCAAAATGGCTTCCTCCTTGATCACGGCAAAGTTCAACTTTTTCAATTGTTGCGCGCATCACATTGATTAGCTCTTCCTCAGTGATGTTCTAAAATGCCAACTTCACTTTATGCTCTAGTTATTCACGAGTAGCTGATATTGTATTGTAAACCTGATTTTTAATTTTTCCCCAGAGATCTGGTGATCTAGAATATGAAAAAGAAAAAATAAATTTATGTAAAAATATGACAACTCAAGAATGTACCTCGCAGGCCACTGAATAGGTCCATAAGTGCCAATCCATTTTTCTGGGAAGGTGTCATTCAGATTTTCTTGAGAATTGTGAGGTGGCGCTCCATCTTGTTGAAAATATATATTAACTTGGTTAGCCAGTAGCAAATCTTGAATGAAATCATCAATTTGATTTCTAAGGAACTGTAAATATCTTTCCGCAGTCAGTTATCCGTCGAAAATTATTGGCTCCAAAAGTTTTCCTCCGATAATACCCATCCAGCAGTTAAAACCCAATCGCTCTTGAAAATTTCCTTCTTGCATCAGATGTGTTTGTGACCAGTGCCTTTCATTATTCCTATTCAACATATCCGAATTGATGAATCGGGTTTCATCTGGATAAATAATTTTAAATGGAAAACGTACATCTTCTCTGTATTTAGTAAAAAACCAGTTGCAACAAGTCAATCTTCGGTTGTGATCGTTATCGTAAAGATTTTGGTGTAGTTGGTACTTGAATGATGGATAATTATATTTGTGAAGAATTCTCCAAACGGACGAATAACTTATATCACACTCTGAAACAGGCCAACACGTCTACTTATTTTTCTTCACTGACGATGAAGTTATTGGCATTTTCTTCTGGTTTATTTCGCATTTTTCTTTCCAGTTTTGGAAAATAATGCCGAGTGGGATTTCGACGATTAGAGAACCTCTGAGCATGAATTCGAGCTTCATCAGTTGGATTCTTTTTTGTTTCTTCATAAATTACCAACATGTCAGTTTTCTCTTTTCTAGTATAATTTGCCATATCTAATTATAAACTACACAACAAATAAATTTTTAAAAGTGACAGCTCATTCATTAGCCTATTTGGTTAGGTAGTAACAACTTCAATTGTTTGTCACGGATAACTACAATAACAGGACTAGTGTATGAATATACCAAATACGTATTATTAGTTATTAGGTATGATCGTATCTTGCAATTATTCAGAAAAATTCAGAAAATAAAGTGAAGGTGTGTGGCATCATATTATTCGTAAGAAAATTATCTTTCACAAAAAGCCGACAAGCCACCCCCTTTCCATTTGAAAAATCAATGGAATTGATGGAAATAAGTGAAAATATATAGAATGTCCCATTTAATAATCGAAAGTTGGGATCATTTCCGGTCAAACCGGAACTACGTCAAAGCAAGTAAATATATCAAAAATGTAAATGGAACTATAATACACAACAATAATAAAAAAGGTATAGGGGTGAGCCACTTTAGAGAATCACACGGTATAATGTTTGAAACAGTGTACTGATTTTTCATTGCTTTCTACAAACTCTAGATTATCAAAGTCAATGTCGTTCTACCAGTCCGACTTTGTGATACGTGGTTCATTTTTATTTTATTATACATTTTGTTCACTTGTCATTTGTGCATTTCAATTATTACGAGCCAACCTGAATAAGTTATTCAACTACACTTTTGAGGGAGATATATTTCTACATAAAAATGAACCTCTTGTTAGCCTCCCCCTCCCCACGACAGCCCAAATTTTGAATATTTCAAATGGAAATAATTGTTTAGCCAAACCTAATTTGAAATATCTTTCAATTCTGTTCACAACCCTATAACATTAAAACGATAAGCAATGTCAAAAAAATAAAATACTTTACAATTTTTATATAATTTCTAACAAGAGAGTGTAATTTAACAAAAAAAAACTTTATCAAACGTTCAACGTGAGCACCATCAACTTTTATACAATGGTATAAAGCTTGTTTCTTATCTTATTCTAAAGAATAAATAAAGTGGTTTAGTAATCCAATAATGTTTTGAACAATGGTTATTTGGGTAACAGGATCAGTTTTTCTTCAAAAAACAATTTTATTATTCCCGACGTTTCGAACTTAACTCGAAATGTTGGCAAGAAAACAATAATTTTTTGAGAAAAAATGATCCTGTTCCCCATATTATCCTTTTATGAAAAAATTCTGAAAAATATCAGATATTAGTGGCCTACAGCAATTGGTAATTTCGTCTCGTAAATTATCTAGTAGATGGCTGTCTTACATTTATGTCCTGATGATTCTTGTTTAGCCCTCGCAGAATTTTCATGTTAGTACAAACCCACTATTTGTAGGTATGTGAAAGAACTATTTTTATGAAACAAGAGATAATAACTCAAGTTCAAACAGGGCAATAATAAAAATTTCCAATAAATGAAACTGAGCTGATAGTCACTATTGTGACATAAACATCAACACCTTAAGCAATAACTGGGTTATGAAATTTTGGATAATATTGAATACAGAATTAAGAGATCTTCAAAATGAGTTGTCACTCATTATTTCCATTTGTTAGACAAACGTCAAAACAGAAAGAATTAATGAAGAGAAGAGAATTGAAAATTTATATGTTTTTTACCACTTCCATTTGTAACTAACATTACAGCAGTTTCATCCTATAAGGACATTTTCAAACTTATGCATTGAACTAAGAATGGTTTATTACATTAGCCCTTATATACTACCCCTGTAGGTACTAACAGAGGTACTTGGCTTGATTGAGTACCTGAATTTACAGTTTATGATGCGGATGTGCCAATTCAAAAACCAGTGAATAAACAGCATCCATTTGATCATTTAACAGGTTGCACCCGCAATGTTTATGCTTGTAAATTTTCAATGATTCTAAATAATTGAGTTTGTAACCCTTCCTTGCATAGTGCAAAGTTTCCGTATCGTTTAGATTCGGAAACCTGTGGTTGCATGCCAAGGAATGGTTTGAAAACGTCGAATCACTTTTTCCTAGTCTGAAGGACCTTTCATGTTCTGCATACCGTTTTTGGAAATTTCGACCACATTGTCCCACATGAACACTATTACACTCCGGACACTTAAACTCCATATTTCTCCAATCAGATAACCTGGCATGTGGTCTGAATGCCACTTCCACATTGTTTTTTCTGAAGGAACCCGCAATTATCTGTGTTATTTTTCCAAAATATGTTACCCATTTCTTGATTTCTGGTTGTTTGACCTGAGGGTATATTAATCTGTAAGTGAATTCACGGCTTTGTTTTCTGACTAACTTCTGGATAGTATCTGCGTTGAAACCATTATTATGACCTATCTGTGTAATTATATCAATTTCCCTAGCTAGATTATTAGCAGACAAAGGCAGTGAGAATGCTCTGTGTAACATTGAATCGCTTGGGATGGTAATGTATGTATAGCTAGGTTTTCTGAAAACATTGAACTCAAATTTATTCTGATTGTGTATAATGGTCAGGTTTAAGGTCTGTTTCTCTATCTCTGTTTCGAGTGTGAACTGAATGTTGCTATTAAGATTATTCACGAATGTCATAAATTGGTTCAGCTGTCGTGTAGTACCTCTGAAACAGGCGAGAATATCGTCTACATATCTGTACCAAAAATGAATATGTTTTTTACCCAGGTCGGAATTTACTATAGTGGTCTCCAAGCTGTTCATAAATATGTTTGCTGAAAGTGGACTGAGGAGTGAGCCCATTGGCAAACCTGAATCCTGTTTATAAAATTTCTTGTTGAACTGTAGGTAGCTCTGGTTTAGGCACACATCGAAAGCTGTTGAAACTTCAAAGGAAGTGACTACTTTGGCTTGATCTAATATGTCTAAAATGAGGGGCTCACACTCGTTGTACGGTATGTTGTAGAACATACTTTTTACTTCGAATGAAACTGAAATTGAATTATGTGGCGTAGTTTGGTTCTTTATGTATTCTACTAAAGTCAGTGAGGTGGGACGAAATTGATAATATTTTTGAACAACTTGTTAAGACGTATTCCTAATTCTCTTACAGAAAGAATTTGCTTCAAATGACAAATGTACTCACCATCGGAGTATATACATTTAAAAAAAGACAATCTTCAGATATTTCCATGGAATTGGGTATCTTAGTATAAGCTGTCGCATTGTTCTGCATACAGACCCTTTCATTCACAGTAGTGTTCAATATTCCTTCCCAATCATCAGGTTCTTTAGGCTCCTAAATAACAGAGTAAAGCATGAGTTCCAACATATTCTCAAATGAGACCATTGTTAGTTGTAGCTTGTATTCTGATAAAGTATTGGATGAATAAATTAAATGTGTATATATCTGCAAGTGTGTTCCAATAATGGAAAATATATTGCGGCAGTTTTATCGCAGGAATGACACCTGTCGTTTCATCACTCTGCAGTATATTTTGTGCTCCGAGGGTGAGAACAGCAAAATAATTCTAGGAAAGCACTCCTAGGGTCCTATCGTTCTAGTCTCAGAATAAGGTCTGACTCAAAGGTATCTTTTTGTAGAAGTCACTTAAAAAAACTATTTGCGACAGTCATCAGGGTTCTTTTTCCATAAATTCACAAATCTGTTTAGAACAAAATATAGAACCCTTAACGAATAAACAGATTTGTGTAGAAATACCCAAAGAAGGCCGATAATACAATAACATAAACATAGTTTTGGTTGATATTTTTTGTGATTTTGGTGACTTATTTATTTTGTGGAAATTCATCTTCAATTAAATAATTGATATTATTACGACCAAGGTTTCGGTTTTTACACCATTCTCAAGTATTCTAACACTACTGACCTAAGAGAAATATCGGAGTATATATATACGAGAGTGGGTAATAAGATATATACCTACATTCATTAGTACCAACTACAAAAACTTCAAACTGTGATTAATTGCGTTGTCATCTTTATAAATTCAAAAGTGGAGACCTACACAAATCTGTTTAGAACAAAATATAGAACCCTTAACGAATAAACAGATTTGTGTAGGTCTCCACTTTTGAATTTATAAAGATGACAACGCAATTAATCACAGTTTGAAGTTTATGTAATTGGTACTAATGAATGTAGGTATATATCTTATTACCTACTCTCAGATATATATACTCCGATATTTCTCTTAGGTCAGTAGTGTTACAATACTTGAGAATGGTGTAAAAACCGAAACCTTGGTTGTATTAATATCTCAATTTGGTTAATATCATACCTTGAATCTATTTTGACCAGTGGGTGGTGCAGCATACGGAATGTTTTGAAAAGCATAGTAGTCCAATCCTTTTCCACTTTTCAGAACGTGACCACGAATTCTTCCCTTCTTCTCCCAGAGTTGAATGACTATATCATCCTAGAAATATAATAATTACTGGGGAAGAATATATGAAAGTTCAATGAAAGTGGTTTCTATTGAAAACACTTTAGACTGGATGTGGACAACTGTGTGGTATTACACCTGAAAAAGAACAATCCGTGTCCAAATAACCTACTCGAAAACGTACAATGCCGAGGCAGCCCGCATGTCTTTTGAATTCTGCCAAATACGTCCATCTCACGAGAAAAGACTCAACGCAGCTTATTTACCTTTGTTTTTGGGACGCAGACTTCGGTGTGATTTAATTATAACTTCTCGCTCCCCGTAAGAGAACTTTCTACCAAACACATGTTCTCTGTAAGTCATATGATTTAAATGATCTATTTTAGGCATGATGGAGCACCAGCACATAATTTCAGTGGCGTACAAAGAATGTTGCGAGACTGTTTTGGAAACAGATGGATTGCTACAAATCGTCCTGTTAAGTGGCTTTCTCGATCACCAGACATGACACCTCTAGATTTTTATTTTTTGGGATTTTTGAGAATGAAGGTAAACAAAATAAAACATAATGATGTAGATGAACTGAAAAATTATATTGAAACTATGATTAGTAGGAATTAATTTAAGGTAATGTTCATAATAAGTCCTAATACGAGTACGGTGGTATAATAATTTGTTATCCTCAAGCTTGTTTTGTTTCATATAAATATTTAATGAAAAATGATATAATATCAAAACAAATTTCATCAGGAAACTACCTGAAAACAACTGGTACTTGTTAATTTGTTGATATGAACGAAAGTATTGAGAGTGTAATTTCTATGAATTTGCAAAAGGCAGATGATTCGAAGATTATTTTCGTTTCTTCTGAACCAATATACCACCAAACCAAAAAGTGGTATGATCGTATCTTTTCAACTCGAGAACCAATGAGATGTCAGAAACTGATAATTTTGGGTGTTACGAAACTAGTTGTGAGAGTTTTTGGACGGTATCTTGACACAACTTTGGTCTTGTAGTACAGACAAGACTGATGTTGAAAGTTTTTATTTCTGAACTGACACTGGACCTCGTTTTAGGAAGCCTGTAATTGAAAAAATATTGAAAAATATCAATACCGTCAAACCTTCTATGTCAAACCGCCCACTTGTCACTCTTTGTGCTTGCTTTTTTCTAAGTTGGCGCATAAATCAAGCTGAATTTGACCGATGGCATGGGTTATGTTGGCTTTGAGGACCGCTGTGATTTGTGACTTATTCGCATACACCTGAGACTTGAGAAAATCTCACACGAGATCGCACGATCACGATGGCCACTTCACATCACCTCCACGTGAGATGACCATGGCCTCAAATCGCTCGTGTAGATATTCAATGGGGCATGAGCTGTGTGGTACGTAGCGCCGTCCTATTGAAACCACATGTCGTTGGTGTCCAGTTAATCCAATTAAGGCCGAAAGAAGTTGGTAGTCATCGACCTATAGTGCTCGCTGTTAACAGTAATGGTCTAGCCAACGTCGTTCTCAAAGAAATATGATCCGATGACGCCGGCAGTCCAAAATCCACACCAGACAGTGACTTTTCCGAAATGCATTGGACGCTCTTGGATCTCATGTGGATTGGTATCGTTCCAATTTTGTTTTTTACCTACTTATTCATTTAGAAATGGGCATCATCGCTGAAGAGGATTTTTCGATGGAAATTAGGGTCAGTTGCTAACTACTTCAGTGTATGGGTTTTGGCCCAAGTTCCGACCCAAAATTGGCCAAGTTGTGGTCTGCGAAAGGCCGAGTTCTTGCCAGCTACGCAAATTCGACTGCACACTTTCACTGGCAGCGGCGATTTTTTGCGACAGATCTTGCGTTTCGTGAATGTAATGGTGTCGGTCGATCGTTTATTGAACCAGTAGACTCAAATTCATCCACCACATTGCGAATAGTCCTCTCGATAGGACGATTATGACGACCGTAAAATGGGCGAAGCGCGTGATATGTTGCCCAAACAGAACACCCATTTTGATGAAACAATTTTATCATTTGCACGTGTTGTTAAATGCTATATCGATTCATGGTGATTTGGCAAAACAGACTGAATAAATGATAACTAATTTTACCTTAACTAGATGGCCGTTATCAATTGTCAAAGCTCGGAAGGCCCTTTTGGAAGACCAGTTATATAGTTCATCAAATGATGGGTAGTTGAAGTTTGCCTCATACTTCCGCTTGAATCTTCTTAGTGGAATCAAGCGGGAAAGTCAGTCGAATAGTTCTCGTCAAAATATCAAGTTTTCAAAATATCTTCTATATTGAAAACTGCAATTCGAATAAATTCGATATTTCCAAAACCAAAGGTCGTTTTACAAAAATCTAAAACATGTCGATTTTTAATTTTGATATTCTACATTTAACAACAAAATTTCATTACACAGGGGGATCCATATTAATGTAATGACGTTATCGGTATTTTTTTTAAATTACACCCTATATTCCGTAACGAGCTGATTCCGAAAAGGTATGATACTTGGGATCTAACAGACAGAATTTGGAAGATGTGCCCTTAGAAAATAAATTTTATTGATATCTAATAAAAGTTGAAATTAATTGATTATTTGATATTTTTTTCTAATGATTATTTCAACAATGGGAAAGTAATCCAGTAATTGCTTTACTGCATTATTGCTTGATCTTTTTGCGGGCAGAAGGCTCTGTACGTAACCTCGTTCATATAATTCGAAGTCACTTCACATCTATTTTTTCATTTGAAAAAAGATTTTTTTTATTAACACGCGTGCCTGCTGCCTTATTTGTATCCCTCTTTGCGCGCTGCCTTCATTGGGCTTGGTAGCTGATTTTTAGACTCCCTCTCCGGAATCGGAAAATATCGATGGTCATTTTTCTGAACAAAATAAGACTGATTGATCCCAAAGTTCAGATAAAATAAATATAGTTTGAAAAGTCTAAAAAACACGCTTTTACAGCATACGAAACTAAAAAATGAAAAAACATACAGTGTAAAAAAAACTAAAAAACACGCTTTTGAAGAACATCGAAAGAAAAGTTTAAAATAGTTTTTTTCAAAATGAGCTCAAAACAATAACGAACGAAAAATACTAGTACTATTGTGGAAAAGCGTGGGCGCTTTGTGCCATATTTTTTGTATATCAAGCGCCCGTCGCTTTTTTCACAATTATACTGGTATTTTTCGTTCGTTATTGTCTTAAACTCTTTTCAAAAAAAATATTTTCAACTTTTCAGTTCAATGTTGTTTAAAAGCGTGTTTTTTAGTTTTTTTTTTTAACTATATTTATTTTGAGCAGACCTTCGATTCAATGTCTTCAGCCGTTCTGAAAATTACGCGTTAGATGATAGAAAGTAGAAAATTATATGAGGTACAATTTTCTACTTTTGATATTATCTTGATTTTCAAGTCACCTTCATATCGGAGTCTGACAAATTTACTGATCACTTAAACTATGTAACATCAGATTTTACTTACTTGGTTATTATTGGAGCTAAAATTGTAGCCATGTTTTTGAGATGTATACTGAATGTACCGGCGACATGTCTAATTCACCCAGATAGCACCCAAAAACAAATGTAATAAAGAAAGATATTGAAAGTTTCCATGCTCGTGGTATCTATTCATTGTTAAGATGCAAACTAACTTCAGAAGAAGACTGACATTAGATTATTCGTTTATTTTTATTGGCATTCAAAGCAGACCACTCATTTTTTTTCAAACAAACTGATAGTAGTGTTTTCTGACTTTTTTTCATATAGTTTACAGTGCGGACCTAGCCCCCCACCTAACTTTCGAACGGGTCAAGATATCACAGTTGCACTTTTTGATAAAAACGCCAATGGTATGACGTCACTTGTCACTGAGAGTGCGCTATAAACTTTTTTTGAATGTGGGGGCCTTGTGACATTTCTTATGAAAGGTATTTCAATCCTCTATTCACTATTTCAATTTTAAAATGTTTCTGAAGTAATGAAGTAATGGTAGCAATCACTTATGTCTTTGAGTTCACGGATTGTTCCAGTTTATGTAACATAAACTTTCGATCTGATGTAGTCCAGAAAGGAAAAATCTAAGGAAATCAAATCCGGTGAACAAGTAGGTTATTTTAAGAGATCGCGCCTACCAATCCGTAGCCTAGGTATGTCTGATCCAACCAATCCCTTACAGATCGAAAAACCACAGAAATGAGTTGAATACAGGAATTTTGATAGGTAAATTTGAATATTATTAAAATCGAATTGAAAAATTTAACGGCAACACTGAAAATCTATGGAAAATAGTTCAACAAGTACCTACGAAACCAAAAAAACACGGCATCACAAATATTGTATATAAAACAACGCTGGCTAAATCCTGAATGAAAATAGCAAGAAAGATTAGAAAAGATCCTGATTTTGGCATGAGGAGAGCTTTCGCCCCCAATTACTTCGTTTTTTCCCAGTGATCTCAGCATCAATTGAATAATATTTTATATTTACGAAAAAAAAAAAAACATCCGCCCAAGAGGCAATGATAAAAAAGGACCTCAATATGGCGAAAGTGTTAGTACATTTCGATTGATTTATCGACGGCATTTGATACCGTCAGCCACTAACTTCTATTACAGTCACTGGACTTCATTGTTATCAGAGGAAACAGTTTATAATCATTTTCAGTTATCTTTTCGAAAGAAGACAGATGATAAGAATTTATTGTATATAGACATTTTTTTATAAAGCTGATGGCTTTACAAAATAATCGAATCCGATTTCTGCCTAGTGAAAAAATTTGGGGTGGAGCATTGAAATTTATGTACGTGTGAGATGGTAGATGCTTGTCCCACCCGGCATCGCCCGGTGAGATACAATCGCAATGGCTTAGGCAGCATGAAGTTGCTTTCGGGCTAATGTTTCGTTGCTGTGCCACTGTTTTTAGTTTCAAGGATGGGAATATAAGGAAAAATGCATGATGACGCTCCTAGGGTCAAAATACTCCGGAGGTAAAATAGTTCCCCAATCCGATCTCCGGGTGGGGGCTGACTCAAGGGCATCATCCTGCAGACGTCCAAAGAGAAATAGCATGGTAACTGCAGTTGCTAAGAGACCCACTAGCAACTGCCAAATCGATTTCTGCAACATTAGAGGACTCAACTCAAATATAGACTCAGTGCACTAACATCTGCAGTCCTCATATTCTTGTACTCACAGAAACCAAAGTCAGTGCTTCAACAAACCCTGGTAATTTTTTCTATTACGGCTATGATATCCACTCCCGATTCAGATGTAACTTTGGAATATCTTTTTTTATCAGGAGCAATCTCTCGTGTCAACGGGAAGAAATGCTGGAACCCCGAAACTTTGATATTACGTGGTTCAAAATAATATCACAGAAGATCACCAAATTCATATGCTGCGTTTATCGACCACCTAGCGATACACAGTATACGGCACTATTCTTTTCACTTACAAACACCACTGACTTTCTGCAAATCAATCATCCCAGTGCCGAAATTTCCATATCGGGTGACTTCAATGTCCACAATATCGAATGACTCAAATTTTCAAATATCAACGAAGACCAAGTACGCGAAGCTGAGGCCTTTGCAATAAGAAGCGGACCTACCCAGATTACAAATGAGCCAACCAGGATTCCTGACCGTGATGGAGAATATGCTAGTCTTCTGGATCTTTACCTAACAACCAATCCAGTAATTGACACAGTAACCGTGAGGTCTCCAATGGGATCTTCTGACTGCAAACTCATTTCAGTGTTGAATGAATTATCGATGAATGTTGGGGAACAATCTAAGCTGCCCAAAGTTTGGCATTACAGATCAGCTGAATGGGAGGATCTTCGGAACCATTTCGGAAATTTCCCCTGGCTAGATGTTTCTTTCAGTTATGAAGATCCATCAACTTGTGCTTCTGAAGTCACGGAAGTTATTCTATCATCCATAGATGTATATATTCCTTTTTCAATGAAACGACATTCTAACGGCAAACCTTGATTCAACAAAAATTTCGAGCAAACTGTTGCTCCCAAAAATCTCGCCTAACGGCATTGGTGCAAAAATCTCAGTGCCAAAAACCGAACTGGGTTTGTTAATGCTCGCAACAGCTGCAAACTCAGGATAAATGAAAGCAAATAAATTCATAATCAGAGAATTAGGGATAAACTGCTGGCCAATCCCAACGGGCCTAGATCCTTCTGGTCGGTAGCTGAAGCTGTCAGTTGAAACTTTACAAAGTCCACAATTCCACCACTAGCACAAGCGGATGGTTCAATTGGACAACAGCTATAGAAAAAGCAAATCTACTAGCTGACCAATTTGCGTCCCACTCCACTGTCAATTTTCTGGGAGAGGCACCACTCACTATTCCCACACTAGAGTTTACAAAGCAGGAATTTGATTTTTGACAATGTCTATTCAGGCGAATTTTGAAACAGTTCAATATCAACAAGGCGTCTGACCCTGATGAAGTGCCCGTCATCGTACTTAAAAATTGCACAAATGAACTTGCACCAGTATTTTGCACTTTCAAAAGTATCTTACAAGAAAGGGGTTTTTCCTTCTTGTTGGAAAATTGCTCGCGTTCAGCCTATTCTCAAAAAGGGCAAAAAAATCTTCCAAATAACTTTAGACCAGTCGCTTTGCTACCAGTCAAAATCAAAATTCATCAAGAAAGTCGTAAATCACCATAACCCCAAATATTTGGAAGGCTTCAACATCTTCAACAATCATCAATATGGCTTTCGGAAACAAACATCAACAGGCGACCTTCTAACGTATGTCACCCATATTTGGAATAACACAATCAAGAAACATGGAAAATCCAGAGCTGTTGCGCTTGATAATTCTAAGGCCTTTGACCGTGTGTCACATGAGGGTTTGCAGGCCAAACTTCGATGCTATGACTTGTCGAATCATGTTTTTTATGGCTCTTCAGGTTCCTGGAAGAACGTTCCCTGCAAGTGACCGTCGTAGAATATATCTCGAATACTTTCACTATCAACGCTGGTGTTCCCCAGAGATCCATATTGTTTCTGTAATATACTTCACTGTTTTTCAACAATAAGACACGGTTTTCATACATTCCATTCAATTTCCCAAACTGAACTAAACTGCTATCTCCTTAGGTCACGGCCCAGCGCATACAAAAAATATACAGTTTTTATCTCAAACAATTCGGGTACACTACAGTCTCCAACCTTTTTTTTATTATATATCAACGACTTATTGGAAAAAACCAAGAATCCAATATATTGCTTTGCTGACGACAGCACTCTTGCCTCGTCATTGGATTTCTCGTCATTTGGATTCCAGGACATCAGCTACGGGGCACACCTTCACCAGCAGCAGGAGGTTGCATATCTTAATGAGGATCTGGAAGTGATTTCGAATTGGGGTGAAAGTAACCAGGTTCAATTCAATGCCACAAAAACCCAGGCATCGTTTTTCTCCAAGAAGATAAATGTCACCGAACCGAATATAATAATGTCAGGTCATACAATTCCGTTTTCTGCTTCGATAGGTTTGTTGGGTGTTGAAATGGACACCAATATGTCTTGGCACACTCATTTCGCTGGTATTGCAAAGGCTTCTTTTCAGAAGCTTGAAACCCTGTTCCGAACCAGAAAACTGTACACACCTCAGCAACTTTTGAAGCTCTATAAAACTCAGATCAGACCTTCTTTGTAGTATTGTTCTCATGTATGGAGCTCTGCCCCAAACTTACCATGAAGTTGCTGTTTATGTGGAATAAACTTCCTGAGAACGTTTCTCTAAATGCATTCAATCTCCAGTGTTTCAAATCCAATATGAATCGCTACTTCCGCACAGGTACCTCTCTGAGAGCGCCTTAAGGATTTTCCTGTAGTGCTTGTGTTTTGTTCTTAACAAAAAGCCATTGAAAATAAACTTTAATTGATTTATCCAAAAAATTAACTGTATTTAGACACGAAAATCTTCGACATGAAAGAAGTTTACTCCGTCCTTATTTGTACAAACGAAAAACACCAGGCAAATACCAACACATAGTTATGACAATCGGGGTAGAACTCTTTAATGTTAGAAACTTCATCGCACAGAACTATTCTTTGCAAAGACCAAAAATTTCATGAAATTCCTGGATATCTGAAATATATAATCACTGTCATTTTAAAAATTATCAAGGAAATTCATCTTGGAAAATTCGAGGCATATGGAAGGTTCTTTACTGGATACATGATAGATGTTTGCAGATACTAATTCAGTGTTGATCTATTTCTGACGTAAAACTACACAGTTATTCTCTTATATTAATACTATCAAACAGCCCCGGCTCCGCACAGGTGCAATGTTGATACTAAATATAAATTCACCCACCGGAAATCTAAGGGCATGGAGAAACAGTCATGAAAAGATAATTTTATTTCATGGGTGCGGCTGACGCCCCAATTGAAATATTTAAAACAAACCTATATATAAAATTTCAGCCTCCGGAAATAAAGCGCTAGAGAGAAATAGTGATGAAAAGGTAATTTTCATATGTAAACGCTTCCCTTCCACCCACACAGGGGCACCTCAATTGGAATATTTGGAAATCCTTAATTATCGCCCTCTGAAACCTAAGAAGCACCTATATACTATATTTTAGCTTCCTAGGACTTACCAGTACGAAGAAACAGAGATGAATGATGATTAAGCATTCATAAGTATAGATTCAATATTGATTCTACGTAACATGTTATATACAAAGTAATTTGTTGTACCTAACTGTAACTGTCAAATATAAACAACAAAAAGCAAGAATTTGATTCACTGATTCAAAACATTTTCTAAAATATACATCATTCAAAAAAGGTTCACAACTAAAAACATGTGAATTATTGGTATTGGCATCCACAACGAATGATAGAGTTGATGTTGTTGAAATCAATGTATACAAATGCTAGACGGATACAAAGAACTGCTCCAACTAATATAGAGAAAAATGAAACATTTCAATTGGGAAATTGCAGTTCTTCAAGCAGAAATGGCATTTTTTTGAAAAGAATTGGTAGATTGCCAATACCAGAAATTAATTTAACTACTTGTTTATACTTCCAGAAATTGATAATATCATTGCATATGATTCGTTTTTCAAAATATGAAGTTAATGTTCCTACACACTTCATTCCATAGAGAATATTTTTATATTATGAATAATCCATGGGACCTATAATTTTATAGGTAGAAAATTTTACCAATTTTACTTTTGGCTTTCAGTAGTGAATTATATTTCTTGTCAGATCATAATGATGTATCCATTGTTATACAGCATATATCAGCTATTCAAAATATATAAAAAATACACGAGCAACTTACCTCAGCTAAAGAAAACCCTAAGCATACCAAGAGAAATATGGTCATTCGCAGATTCATTCTGAAAATATCAAATGATGCTTATTCATGAAAATACAAACAAAATGAATTGTTGGGTTGTTCCAGTAAGAAAAAATTACAGTCTGAAAGTATCATTCCTGAGAACCAATAATTGTTTATGCAGCAGCAATGCAGTGAGTTTTAATGAAAAGTTTCCATACTGAATATTTCTTATCTTTCTATCTATTTTTCAAGAATTTCTTTTCTGTAGGTTAGAGTCGTTAATTCTTCAGTTTTCTCAATATGGAAAAAAAAATAAACAAAACGAGAAGATGGATATATTACCTACAAAATATACAAAAAAAAAATTAATTTATAATTATTGAAAGAACATCAATTATGTGGCTGTTTTCTGTTCAGTTAGTAGCCAAAATGGCCTATAACTCACAACTTTGAACCAATCTCACTACCTTGAGGCCAATCACGAATGAGCAAATTCATAACTCTGCAGTTGTTTCAGTTCTTTTCATTCGCAAAGAATTTACTTCACCCAAAATTGTTCTCAAACGTCAAACTTAATCATTGAACTGACGATTCTCGTTTTGAAAAATATAGGTTTTATATATTCGGAACGTGAATACGGCTGTACCCCTCCAGAAATTAGTACCTAATGTGGTGAAAATAACGACTATACATCTGTTATCAAATAAATAAAAAAAATATAAATCTTCATATCCAATTTTCATGAAATGGCGAATATGAATTCAATTTGGAAAAATGTATTTCCAGCATATATTTCCGAACATTTGCTTTGGACACAATAGCCAATACACTTTTTTGTCAACCCAGTCACTTTGCTGTCGGGTTGGATCTTTCCTGCACTGATGAGAGGTAATATCTCGAAACCAGTCTGTAATCTGCTCGATTTTCAGCATGGTCCTGCTGCTGAATTAATGAGAAACATTAGCGAGGCCTCTAATACCTCTGTGAAGTATCTTGCATAAATGTCTGTCGAATATCAATATCCAGCAGGGCATTGGCCAGGGAAGTAGTTGTTTTCTGGCAGGCATTTACCAGAACTTACTGTGTAGGTGATTAGGAGAAATTAATGTTAAAAAATTTCATTTAAAAATATTAATTTTTTTGTACTAATCTATCTCTACTTGATACCGTTTTCAGACACATTCAGATACCTGTTAGAGTATTGGTACATGGGATATTTCTTTCCCACTTGTTCACGAAACAGAGCTGTTACTAGTTAACAATATTTCTCTTTAACGGGGATTTCATCAATCGAGTTCCAGGCACTTTGCTATCTGGGCCGGATCTTTCTTGTAGGAATGAGAGGCAATACCTCGAAACCGGTCGGTAGGTGATTTACTCGAATAATTACAGCATGGACCCACTGCTGGATAAACGAGAAACAATCTGCGAGACTAACCTCTATGAGGTATCTTGTATAAATGTCTGTCAGATATAATTCAATATCTGGCGTGGTATTATATGGGGAAGTAGCTGTACCAGAATCTACTGTGCAGGTGGTTGGGAGAGATGCATGTTTCTAAATTTCATTTCGAAATATCCATTTTATTGTACATTGTTAAGAATTACAGTTCTCATCAATAATGACGTTAATATAGAACGTTACTCAAAATTAATACCATTTTTGAAACACAAATCCGAAAGTTATACACCAAAAAAGGCGAAAACTCTCATCCCAGGTGAAATAAAATAATTTAGCAATGAAAAACCTGACGAAATGGATCTTGCGACAAAGGTAAGAAATTGATAATTTTCAAAAGTTTATTAATAGACAGTAAAGTGAGAGTCTTCAGAGACTCAAATAAATTGGTGTCGACGTGGAGTCAGACTATAGACTATTTATTGTTTAACCACAATCAGGAAATTCAAATCAATTCCGTGTTGGGAATCACACGTTAAAAGGTAAGACCTCATTAGTCCTTAGCTCGCAGAAGTTTCGACTTCTGAGGGTTGTTGTTCGTAGGGGTGCGACCGCTGGTTAACGAAAAAACAGATTTTTTTCAAGTCAGAGAATTAGGTTTATAAAAGAAAGAAAGAAGAGAAACAAAATCACCTCAAAAGTGCTGCTTTCTTCCCTCCTGTTCATAAAAGAGGCCATATGCCTTATCACTGGGGACATGTGTAAATCGTTGTATTCACGACACGGGCCACTATATGGGTATCTGTAATATGCTGTGTAATGCCCGTTATAAGTATTTTCACTGTGATTCGAAAGTGCATATAGATTATAACGACATCGAGCCATATTATCTGCTGCATAATTGTTCATATCTGATCGTTCTGAAGAAAAGTAAATGGCAACATTCAGTTTGTCTCCTAATCTTTCCGCTGGAGATAATATATTCAAATGAATTACTGGAATACGGTGAATCTTTTAGATTGATAGGGACTTTTTACATTTTCTTTTTTCCTTTCACCTCGAACTCGTTGATTTTTCATCTCCATCCAGAGTTTCTTCTCTTGTGAAAGAATCCAAGCAATGTGACAAAGTCAATTGGCCAGTTCCTTGTAGTATGGAGAGATAGCCTTGAATATAGAAATTACAAAAGTTCAAAATCCGAATTTTGTACTGAAATTCCGTATGTGGTATCAAAATTGATTTCTATGCAACTTTTCCGAATAACTTTTTTCGATATCTTCAACGCGAAACAAAATACCCCAGGAAAGTTATGTAACAATAATCAAATACTGCTCTGCACTAACCTAATACTCTCCTAAAAGAAGAGACAAAATCAAATTCGACGAAACAAATGTTTTATTTTCAGAAAGTTAATAGTGGATAATCCCATTTATTTTTATGAAAAATTTAATGAAATTATGAAATTTGTCGAAACCAACCTGAGGGTGTTTTATTATAGATTCATATAATGAAACATTTTGAGATAATATTGAAAATAAAATTATTTGAAAATATCTGATCGAAAAACAAGAGGAACTCGTAATATTCCTTTGAAAGGCGGATTTTTTTTTAATTCAGTTTATCTATCACCCTCGCGCTGATTTAAATTTAAATTTCACTAATATACCTCAAACGGGATGGCACACCCCTTCAAATATCCACTTATTCATCAATACAATATTCTTGATAATAATTGTGCGTTTCCTGGAGTTTGATAAACAGACACTACTTCACAACATAAGGAGTTCACTCGAATTGAATCCAAATTACATATTATATTTTAACATTCAGCCATACATACATACATGCTTATCCTATTCAGCGATAAACAAAAAACCAGCATAACTGATAGTGTGCAATTATTATACATACACGTCGAAAGGATAAAAAAATATGTGACTTCATTGTAGTAATATTTCTTACCAACTGAAGAGAGGAAATGAAGATATATTTGAGAAAAATGAAATTGGGTGAAATGAATCACAATATTCTTCATCACTGATAAGAGCTCATGATGACGAATTGAAATTATATTCTCAAAAATTCAAAAACATGGACGTGCAATAATGGCTTCACTCACAATTCAGTACAACGACAGCACTGACCTTTATCACTGATATTTTCAAGTCATGCGATGAAAAAAAAGCACTTGTCTTATTTTGCTTGACTACAGCAAGGCTCTTGACATAGTAGATTTGTATATCTTGTGTGAAAAACTTCAATTTTTCAGTTTTTCTCGAAGAGCGGTATCTCTTTTAGACAGTTATTTATCGGAACGGACTCGAAAAGTGTCATTCTGGATGGTGAACAATCTACTTAACTGGTCGAAGTTCCACAGAATTTTGAATTGGGACCACTTTTTTCGCCCTCTACAGTGATTTCCATTAATAAATACAGACGTGCAAAATTCATCACTACGCCGATTATACCCAACTACACAACTCCAAAATGTAGGCTTTCACGGCTGACGTCAATATTTTGGTTAGTTTCTGGGTTTTGCCGTGGTCTTCTTTGGTCACAATCTCCAAACGTTCCATCTGCTACTGCGGCAGTCATCTTCAGTGGCGTGGTCGACGTACTCTTCTTGACGTACAGAAGTTTCAGCAGACTTTTATTGCCTAAAAACTTGGAACACAGCCTTTGCAAGTCTCTGGCACTTTCAAGTCTGGCCCACTGTGATTGCATTTATTGACCAGCTTTACAACAGATGTTCGGCGTCTTCGAAAAATACAAAGTAGTTTTATTCGATTTTCATACGATCATATAAGCTCTGCGTAGGGTTTTCATCAATACCAATTTTTTTATTATGCATATGAAAGAAATCTTCCTCATTGTCACTGACAAATCCCGACAAATTTTATGTTTTGAGTTTTATGACACGTTTGAGCTAAATGACACTTTTTTTCGCATTTGTTGCACACATAATCACGAAAATTGCATATTTGCCTACCACAAACATTGCAAAAGCGTCTTTTATTGGTCCATGTACTGCTTTTCCCTTGGCTTGGTTTTGTTGGGTTCTAATTTTACTTGAGTCACAAGTGAAAGCTCCGATTCGTTCTGGCTTTGCTCTTTACATAATGCAATTTCTAGGGCTCTCTCGAACGTAAGATTATCTTTTTCTTCTTTGAGTCTATCTTGAATGAGACCTTTTCCAACTCCTACCAGAAAAATGTCCCTCAATACTGTTTGAAACTCGATACGAATTTGGGCATTTCCAGCCAAACACTTCAATTTAGTCGCAAAATCAATAACGGATTCATTTTCTTCTCGCCTGGTACAATAGAATTTTATTCGTTCCGTATGAAAAGAGGTAATGGGGCTGAAATGCTTATCCAATAATGTAGTAAGTAGTAGTTAAGATGTATTAGTAGTTGTTGTAAATGAGATGGATTCTTATTATTTGATCGTTTCAAAAATAAGTTTTGACTTTTCTCGTAATGACTTTTTATTTATATTTTAACAACTGAACAACTGGATACAATAGTTACCAAGCAGATCATAAAACAAAATTATTCATACAGGGAGAAAAAATATTAACATCAAAATAATATCATGAACAATTCCAACATTCTCCCCCCATTTAGTAGTTGAAATTTCGTTGAGGGCGGACGTGTTTGAAACCTCTCCCGAGAAAAAAAACTTTCACAAAAAATCCGTAATGGAGTTCTATGGACACGAAATAATATACAACTAGAGAATGGATAACAAGGAACTCCTAGCCCATATTTTGGAAAAAATTGAATTGAGTAAGATAGAAGTGAAGAACCAAATCGAAACATCTGAAGCTCGAATTCTATTAAATATAGAAACAATAAAAAAACGAGTGAGTGAAGTTGAAAGAGAGAATGAAATCCTGAAGGATAGAATCGGAACCCTGGAAATAAACAATAGGAAAAAAAATAATCCTATATGGCCTAAATAACCACCCAGCGAGAGAAGTATTTCCTTTCTTTGTGAGCTAATCAAGAATTTGCTTGGTGTCACATTAACAGAAAACGATATAAGTGATACATACTCTCTAGGCAAACATAACGAAGCACCTTTGAATATTGAACTATTGTCACTGACAAAAAAGATAAATATACTACAAAACTCTTCAAAGCTGAAGAATACCGGAATCGCAATAGCAAACGATCTCACTGAGCAAGAAAGAGAAGAAAATAAGGTATTGGAAAAAGAATTGCATCACTGTAGAGAAACGACAACTGAAAAAAGTTACATAAAAGGGAGCAAATTGTACGTGCAGAAGAATTATTAGATATCGATTTCAGTGAAGACGAAAAGCCGAGAAGTGCTCCTCCAACACTAGTTATCAGAGAACATACTAGACAAGAGACGACACTGAAACCTGAACACTGAACACCCCGTGTATATTAAAACATTTTTTGAATCGCTCTAATATTTTCATACTTTTTTGTCAATAATGTCCTATCTGTTTTCGAGATGAAAAATAAATTGTGCTAAATATGGTCCAAAACATAGCCTTAATTGAAATTAAGTACATCAGTACTCTCAATTCATGGAAAGTTGATATTTTGAAGATAGTTTGGACAAACTCGGAATATTCAAATAACATCAAGAAATCGGCTCCATATCATACAGGGTGTGCTAAAATCAGTATTATTTCCATTGTGCATAAAAGTAGTCGAAAGTTCATTTTTTCAAATGAAACCCCCTGTATATTACTCGATANCGAATTACTGAGAAAACATGCAACTGGCTCATTGGTTGTCATATATGGCCCATATACTAAGGCACCTGTTTTCTTTGCCAGTCCTTTTCTTATTGAGTTTTTTTTGACCGTTGTTTTTTTTAAGATAATCTAAATTCTGTTCTGATATGGATTAATATTTACGTGACTTCAAAGTAAATAGCGTAAATACTTTCAACCTAAATTAATGTCATGAATGTAGGGAAGTCCTAGATGTAAATAAAAATCAAAATTTCATCATATTACACAATAATATACGGAGCCTCAGTAAAAATTTCGATGAGTTCAAAATAATACTGGATAACATTACCTTTCATTTTGATTGTCTAGTACTGACTGAAACTTGGCTCCTTGCAAATCCAGAGCAATACAATATATTAGGCTATAACCTAATCTACAATCAAGGCCAATTCAATCAAAATGACGGCACAGTAATAAACTTGAAAAACAATATTTCATTGAAACACTCAATTATAACAAAACGTGGTATAAAGTTTCTTAGGGCCGATATTACGCACAGCTTGCTACCGTTCGCCTGCCTCTAATATCAATGACTTTCTTCATAGCATTCAGGAGTATTTCGAAGAAGATCAAACACAAACATATGAATATACTTAGTATACGAATATACTTAGTGAATTCGGATACACTTCGATGATTAACAATCCTACAAGAGATAAAACATGTTTACTTAAATCTGCAATCACTGATCATGATACTGTCATTCTACAAATTATATTGGAAAAATTGAAAAATCAACATCAAAATAATTTTAAAGAGTACACGAACTATAAAAAATGTAACAAAAGTATGCAAGAAATCTCATGGGACCTCATCTATTCACAAGAAGATCCAAATGCCGCAACGAATGCCTTCATTGATGAAATAAAATTAGCAATGAAATATTGCACTGAAAAGAAGATAGTTAAGCGTAAAAACATGCCTTTTGCACCGTGGCTCACAAATAGTATGCTGAGGATGATAAATAACAACGAATAGAAATTATACAAAAATCAACTCACAAACAAACTGAAAAAATTTTAACAAAACTATTATAAGCAGCAACTAAAAAAAATATGCACACAAAGTACTTGTGGGACATGGTACGGAAACTCTGTGGAAGGAAACAACAACACAAAATCATTGAAACTATCTCAAATGATAATGGGGAACTCTTAACAAACGATGAGGAAAAAGCAGACGAATTCAATAGTAAGTTTGTTAGTTTTGGGATAATTCTTGCTGACAAAATTGAAAGAGATTCTCACATTGTGAGCACATCAAAGATCCTGCCAAATAATATGCTGCTAGGTCCTACGAACGCTAAGGAAATATATAATCTAATACATGAACTGAAAGAACAATAAATCTCCTGGAATTGACAACATAAGAGCAGAACTTTTGAAGGAAATATCATACCACATCTCAACCCCACTATCATATATAATCAATAAGAGTATTGAAAAGGGAATATGGCCTGATGCCCTAAAAAGATTTGTTGTAGTGACAGTTTTTAAAAATGGTGATACAACATCCGTCGGTAATTATATACCAATTTCTCTCATTAGCCACTTGGCAAAAATATTCGAAAAACTTCTCAAAAACAGAATAACTTCATTCATAAATGAATTCAAATTATTTTCCACTATAGATGCCATAATCAAATTAAAAAACAAAATTCATACATCTCTAGACAGAGGAAGACCTTGTCTGTGCCTTTTTATTGATTTGAGTAAGGCTTTTGATACTGTGAGCCACCCGTTACTAATACAAACGTTAGAAGACATAGGTATAAGAGGAATGGTTTTGAACTTATTCAGAAGCTATTTGAATTCAAGAAAGCAAATTGTTAAAGTGGGCAATAAAACAAGTCGAAAATTAGACATTGAATATGGATTACCACAAGAAACAGTCTTAGGACCGACACTGTTCAATCTATACCTCAATGACTTATTCAACTTGAAAATAACTGGAGGGATAAAAGGTTTTACAGACGACACTGCTGTTTTTTATGAAGCTGATACTTGGCATAATCTAAGGAATAAAGTAGAAAAAGACATCAAGGTGATAAAAGACTGGTTCGATCACAAACTCCTTACCATGAACCTCGAAAAAACCAAA